GGGAAATTTATTTCATAAAATCAGAGAAACCTGCGCGCAGTTTTAGGGGTGGAAGATGTCTGGACGTGTAATGTTAATTCTTGCCTGTGACCCTTTGAATAAACCAGCACTGTTATATATTTTTTATATATATCCAAGTGGTCTGCGTCGTCCCTCTGAGTTCCTGGTTGAAAAGGACTGGGCAATATCTTTTAGCGCGCACTTTCAGGCAGGAGGGGGTCAAACCATGTGGGCCTGGTGCCTTTCTGATCTTTTGTCTTTTAAAGAGGCCATGCACATCCTTTTCACAGATCGTTAGAGGTGGGGGGCAGGAGGGAAGGGTGGTGATTGACGGGGGAGCAGGTGCTGGGTCTGAGGTGGGGAGGGTGAGGGGGGAGTGTTGTTTGTCAAACCTGCAGTAGAACACATTCAGGTCATCTGCTAGTTGATGGACCTCCACAGAAGGGGGGGATGGTTTCCTATAGCCAGTGATGCTTTTCAGGCTTCTCCACATAGACGAGGAGTCGTCAGCTGAAATCTGGGCTTTCAACTTTTCAGAGTAGCTCTTCTTTGCTGCACTGATCTCCCTTGTCAGTGTGTTCCTGTACAGAGTCCTGTCCCCACTTATGTAAGCCTCCTCTTTGGCACGACGAAGCTGCTTGAGTCTGGCTGTAAACAAGGGCTTGTTGTTGTTGTATGTGCAGAAGGACTTTTTGGGTGCACACACACATCCTCACAGAAGCTGATATAAGATGTCACAGTGCCAGTGAATTCATCCAGATCTGTAGCTGCAGTCTCAAATACACTCCAGTCTGTGCAGTCAAAGCACGCCTGTAGCTCTGACTTAGCCTTCTCAGTCCAGCTCTTCACTGTTTTGACCACAGGCTTCACAGCTTTAAGTTTCTGCCAGTAGGTTGAAATAAGATGGACCATACAGTGATCAGAGAGTCCGAGGGCTGCGCAGGGGACAGAACGATAGGCGTCTTTTATTATTGTGTAGCAGTGATCCACTGTGATTTTGTCCCTGGTGGGACAGGTGATGTGCTGTCTGTATTTGGGCAGTTCATGGGTGAGATTTGCTCTGTTAAAGTCCCCTAGAACAATGAGTGGAGAGTCAGGATGTTCTAGCTCCACACTAGTTATCTGTTGTACCAGGAGCTGTAGTGCGCTAGTGTGGGCCTGTGGTCTTATGTACACTCCCATTAGAATGAAAGAGTTAAATTCACGAGGAGAATAAAAAGGTTTGCAATTCATAAGAGTCTCTAAGTCTGTGTTACATGTCCTCTGTAGCACTGTGACAGCTGTGCACCAACCTTCATTTATGTAGAAGCAAATTTCACCTCTTGTTTTCCGGACAGCTCTATTACGTGATCCGCTCTGTACACCTGGAAGCCCGGCACTTGTATCACGCTGTCCACGATGGAGTCGCTCAGCCAAGTCTCCATGAAGCACAAAGCAACAGAGCATGCAAAGTCAGAGTTGGTCCTTTGGACGAGAAGAATTTCATCCATCTTATTGACTAGGGAGGGGAGATTTGCTAGGTGGATAGACGGGAGTGGAGTCCGGGTCCCTCTCTGGCGTAGCCTCATCAAGGCACCTACTGGTTTGCCACGCCGGCGTTTCTTCCAGGTCCTATACATTGCAGCTGTGCCTCCATTTCGAATGTCCATACAGCATTCTTTGTTCGCAAAAATTGGAGAAAGGTAGTTCGGTGTGAGT